GTTTTGAAGAAATTGCCATTGTTCCCCCTCCCTGACCTCTCATGAAAACCACTGCTCACCCAAAAATCTTGCCATCACAATCCCCTCCTTACTTCTGACATTGGTCTACTTCCTGGACTCTCTTCATTCACATGGGCACGGGCACGGAGCCACATCCTTTCTTTTCTTAGTAATTAACTTCTCCCTCGCTACTGGCCTTTTCATTGCTATTTCAACAAGCTCAAGACCCTCCTGGTCTGAAAAAAAAAATGCAAAAAAAACTATCTTCCACATTCCTCTGCAACATACTTGATATACTAAAACCAGAACATTTTTAAAAATGAAAATTCAATTATGTGATTTACTACTTAAATGCCATAAAGTTCTTCTCATTGCATTTATGATAAAATCTCAATCCTAGTCCTTGTCCTACTCATGCCTGTCATCCTAGTCTCCTCCGCCCTCCAACTCCACCTCCGCCATCTATTGTCTAGTAACGCGGGACCTGTCCTGGCTCCTCACGAGCACCCTGTTCTTCCTTTACCTTTGAACTTGTTTTCTCTGCCTAGGACTTCTCGCTCTCATCACCAACATACTTTTCCTTCAGGTACCAGCCAAAATGTCACTTCTGCAGGAAAGCCTGCCCTGTTTCCCAGACTGATAAACTGCAATCTCTTTTCTTTCTCTAAAACCCGTTCTGAGAGCTAAATCACCTATTCCTATATTTTGGCAATAATCTAAAACTTTACCAAATTCATCATCATAATACTTCTTTGTATCCATTATTTTTTGTATTCTCACCTTCATGAACCCCAGCCATTTGAATGGTAAGAGTCGTCAGGAAAACGACTTTTAAAAACATGAAGAAGGATACTACCAACAAGTTAATTCAGCATTATTCTTAGGCTGCGGTTCGCATCATTTCAGGCTATCCTACACCAGTTTCTGTAGCTATTCCACACAGAGGTATAAGAAAGAGAAACTTCAGTTTCAAAGAGGCAGCTTGTTTAAAGTCTTCACTCAGCACTCTTTCCAAAATAGAATAAAATGAAATGTCTTCAAATTCCAAAGAAGCGTGCATCACAAGAGGGTCATTTTGTCTCACTCCACGTGCCCTCGGCTAATGTGAAGCCAAGGTGAAGTAACAGATAACGGCATCAGAGAACTACTCAAAATGCTGTCATTTAAAGATTTGGACAAAGACAACAACATTTGAAGAAGACAAAGCCCCTGGCTGGTCAAGGAACTCAAGCAACTGACGGGTGAACCATCATTACACATGTTCAACAGCTAAGCAAATAAGGGCACTTACGCATGTCACCAAAGGCCCCCTTTGTCACCTTGGTGGCACGCAACACCACCACCGTAAACTTGTGGGAATACTGGTGCTCCACCTGGAAATAAAATGATAGTAAATTTAAAATTAGCTTCCATTATAGAATCTCATTGTTTCTTTGAGACTAATTAAAAATAATTCCACTTGAAAAGAAGTAACATGCATACCAGGAACATTCTTTGATCCAAAGGCTTCTCCTTTTCTGACTCTCTTTTCTCCCACCACAGAATCACTGAGAAATTTAGAGCATGCTTTAAAATGTCACTACAGCTGGACTATTAGCACTTCTTTGCTGTCAGGTTTAGCAAGCACTTGGGAAAAAATGTAAATTAGGACGGCAAGTATACAATCAGGCTTTGTATTAGTTGACTAGGAAGCCCTGGTTTACAAAGGTGAACTCAGACCAACCTGTTTGGGTTTGTTTGTTTTTATTGTTGCTGTTCAATGACTCAATCAATTATCTCTCTTTTTCTGCATGACATTTCCAGGAGTTTTCAAAACCCTCTGGACCCAAGACAATAACCAACAAACTACATACATTAATTTTATTCCATTTGTTATAAATCACATGCAACAATGTTAGAAGTTTCTATTAGCCTAACAGTTTGCATACACATAGTAAGTATTAACAGGTAGAAGACTAAGACGCTTCACCTATGTGGAAATTAGTTATCAAACAATCCTATTCACTAAAACAGAATGGGGAAGCAGGAACTCACAAAATTCTCAGAGCGACTGAAAAGATTACAAAGTCTCTAGCTTTATCAAACATTTTTTATTTCAATCTTAAGAGAGGCCATCTTGCTTAATCTTAACAGGCTTGCTTAACTAGCTAAAAAGTCCATAATGAATTAAAAAGAGGCTAAGATACTAACAACACTGAGAAGTGAATAATGACAATCTAAAAGCAGGGAGGCAGAAAAAAAAATTGTCAAAAGTACCCTCATAATACCCTGAAATAAA